ATTTTATTTTCGATTTTTTACCCAAAATAATTAATATGCAAACAAAATATAAATAGATGCAAAAATTAGCAAACGACTAGCAATCGAATGACGTATTCAAAATTATTGAAATCGTTAGTTCGACAGCTGGCTTCATACCGGTACTTTACGAGGGTGTCTCGTTCTAAGATTGAATACAATGCATGAAGCTGGGTGTGCCTAGAGTCCTAGATTATCAGAGAAGCGCGACCGGCTTATGGCAGTATCGCAAAAGTACTAGAAAATATTAAAAATAGGCGTCGAATGGCCAATCATAAGATTGATTTATTCGGCAGCCATTTATAATAGCGATAAATCAATCTTATGATTGGCCATTTGCGAGTCCAATCAGGACTCGTAACACCGGTCGCGCTTCTCTGATAATCTAGGACTCTACAAAGAACAAAGGCATTCCACCTCCATGTACTATATACTTAAAGAGAGAAGCATGCTTTTCTCTGTCGGTGGCTTTGAGTATATAGACATGGAGGGGGAATGTTGGCTCGAAAGCTGTGTCCAAGATGTGTGCGAGAGAGAAAGGTAGACGAGTAATGTTCGTCCTCTCTGCGCATGCGTCGATCATTTAACAGACAGAGAGGACGAAGTAAAGGCATTCCACCTCCAGGTATCTATATACTCAAAGGTCGGTGGTTTGATCCCACGTGATCGCTTTACGTCGAATATTACTACCTCCCTCACCTACCTTTCTACCAGCAAATGCTCCGTCCATATATTCCTACGTCAATACATATGAATACGAGTTTATGCCTATCCTTTTCTGAATTGATAGCTGCACTATAGTTCAAAGTTTATCTTTCTTCTTCTAATGTAGAAAGAGAAAGATAAACTGTGAACTAGTGCAGCCAGTTCAACTAAAAAGAACATATGCATTGAATGTTGCACTAGTGCAGCTAAGGGAAAACGCTACGAGGCTTCGGTTATTTCAGACATTTCAGTGTAGGACATGTAGGTTAGGGAAAATTATGATAATTATTATAAAAATTTTATAATATCAAATGTAAAATTGAAATAACATGATGATTCGCTGCCAATAAAGCCAAATACGAGATAAATAGAAAAGTCAAACTTAAACGTCTTACAAGGGTGAGAAACTTTGGCAATCGGTCTGTCCGACGAGCGGCCGTTAAAAAGGTGCGTCAAACTCATCGCTTGACAATTCTGTGAATTTGGAATTTGGCGAAGATGCAGCGTTACGACATTCTGATCCAGGAGATTGAGGGCATCGATGACTATCTGGGCCCGACATTCCGGTGAGTGAAATTAATAATTCGAGAATGGAGATTCGTTGATCAAAGTACGCGCCCACCCTATATCTAAATCCACCCCCTTTACGCAGATGCAACTATATCGCGCGTCATGCGCATATGCGCACTCGAGGGGGTGGTTTTAAAGAGGGGTGGTATTGTAGACACATCCACCGCCCGTATAACTCGTATTCCTCGAACGAATTTCTTGAGCAGATTTGCGATTGCGACGTTGTCAAAGATGTCGATTAATTTGTCACAAAGTCTCCTGTCATCGATGGTGCCAAAGCACGAGTACTTGCTCTATGAGATAGAGTCGACCGACACTAATAGTATAGGCCTTGTTTTCAGGTATTCTCAGGATGACAAATGGTTTTGGATCGCATAATTACGAAAACCAATTGAGACTTTGCTCGGACAATGCAAAGCTCAAAATCAGGACAGAAGATGTCTCAAAGACATCTAAAAGACATCTCTGAGATGTCTAAAAAAAACGTCTTAAAGATATCTTAAGTTCCGATTTTAAACTTTGTATCTGAGTAGTGAAAATAAAAATTGGAGCGTAAACCGAACTGTAAGAGGAGAGTAGCAGAAACGTAAACGAAGCTTCCGGGGAATAAAAATTGAGGCAACAAAACAGACAAAAAGAAGTGTAAATGCCATTTTTGCAATTTTTGCTCTTTAGAAGTCTTGTGTGTGCTTCTGTCACTCTCCCCTTATATTTGATTTACTCTCCAATCTTTATTTTCGCCAGAAAGGAAGATGATAGAAATGTGTCCACCACTTCTATTTATTTTGCAGAGCGATTTATGATGGCCATGAACATCAGAAATTTATGGAGAAGCTCGACGATCGTATCAAGGCTCACGACAAGGACATTGAAAGGATGTGCAATCATCACTACCAGGGATTTATTGACTCTATCCGAGAGCTCTTGCAAGTTCGCTCGCAGGCACAGCAATTGAACGTTAGTTTTATCTATGAAACTAATTAGCGACAGTAATATTTGATTATAATCCAACAATGATACTTTGTAATATTGCTCGTTTGTCATAACAATGACATAACTAAAAAATTACTATTTTTTAATTTAAAAAAAAGAATAGGAAATAGAGAAAAAAGGCAACATTAAAATATGTATTTTTATTTCTTTACAATCAATTACCTCAAAATTGTTTCAAAATTAATATTACAAAATTTTAATGATTCAAAAACATTCAAACTTATTTTATGTCGTTGTAACAAAAGAGCAATAAGATACTCTTTACTCAATTCAATTTTTATCATTATACAGGCAGAAATATTGGAGCTTGACAAATGCATCACTGCTACGTCTACTAAGGTGATCGAAAAAGGTGAGGAACTCGTGAAAGCCCGCAAAGTCGAGAGCAACATGGCTGCTGCTGTGGACAGTCTCACTATGTGCCTTCCTGTCTTAGCTGCGTACGCAAAGTTGCAGAAGCAGTTAAAAGATAAACGTTACTATCCAGCATTGAAGACGCTAGAGCAGTTGGAGCATCACGATCTGCCAAAAGTTACAAATTACAGGTTTTCTTCTCAAATCACGCAACAAATTCCACAGTAAGTTTGATTGAAAGAATTTCAACGAGTATCTTGCTTCTTTATATGCAATAGTTGTGGCAAAATATTATGGAATTGTCTTTCTTATTTTCTAGATTGCGCGAGAATATAAAGGATGCATCTATGTCTGATTTAAGAGATTTTTTAGAAAACATAAGAAAACATTCGCCAAAGATCGGGGAAGTTGCAATGAGGCATGTGAGTAATTTTTTATTTTTACTTAATATTTATAATTATAAGAATTTTTTAAGAAAGAATCGTTTAGTTATAAACTGATAACGATTTATCATAACTCCTTATTTTTACAAGAAAAATATGTTAAACTATTTTTTAACATAATTTCCGTTGATATCCAAACATTTTTTCTATCGAGAGATGAGTTTGATGATCCCCTCGTTGAAGATCTCTGTCGCCTTGAACCAGTCGGTGACAATTTCGGCGGAGGTATCTACTCAATAACGCGCATCCTCACATTGCTCAAAATATGGCAGAACAGTTGCGAAAGTTTTGGTGAAAGGTTTTGTACTATCCTCCGTACAGTCCAAACTTGACTTTCATCTTTTCCTCAAATTAAAGGAATTTTTGAGCAGAAAACACTTGCAGACCGATGACAAAATCCACGAAACTATCACCGGCTGATTCAAGGAATAGGCAGCAGAGTTCTTTAGGCGAGTTTGTTAGGCTTGTCTCCCGATCTAAAAAATGCTTGGATATCAATGGGGATTATGTTGAAAAATAGTTTAAAATATATTTTTGTTGTAAAAACAAAGATTTTGGTTTACAATAAATTGTTATAACAGAACTTATTTTTTATTTTAAAAATGATCCTCGTATATAATTTATATATGCTAGGTAAACCTATTATATAACTATGTATAATTTATCAACTTGGACAATTTTTTATATCAGACTGCTGAACAGTTAGCGACTGAGGCAGAAATTATAGGAAGGAAGAAAAAGAGATCTCACGCGAATCAGTCGAACGAAATTGAGGAGGAACTGAGTGCCCAAGATTTAATGGATTTCAGTCCTGTGTATCGATGTATGCATATCTATACCGTGCTCCGGGAAGGAGAAACTTTTAAAACGTACTATAGACAACAAAGAAAACAGCAAGCTAGACTAGTTTTACAGCCACCCATTAATATGGTAAATTCTCTTGTCAAATATTGCTATATTTGTACGTACATCTTGTGTTCCAGTAATAAGACATTCTTTTATATAGCACGAGAGTATAGTCGGATATCAGACTTATCTACACGGTATTATTGGTTTCTTTGTGGTAGAGGATCACATATTGAACACAGGAAATGGACTAGCCACTCGCGCATACTTGGACGAGCTTTGGACTATGGCCTTATCCACCATAGTGAATGCTTTGCGCACGCATTCGGTAAATTATGTATATACTATTATATAGACTATAGTAATTCCTAAGTAAGTACAAAAAATTAAAGGAGATATTCCATGGCTTTTAAGATTAAAAAAAACAAAGTTCTATGACCATATCCTAAGTTGCTTCGTTGAAAAACTTAATGATTACGCCCTTAGTGTAGAATGTTTCATTGATACTGAAAAATTGTACTTAATATCACATATACATACATCAAATTTGAATAAAATATCTCTAAGCGTTTTCCAAATTTTCATATTTTTTTCTCAACTTTGACACTCTGTATTTTAAAAACCAAGCAATTTAAAACATATGTTTATAAAAGATTTTTTTCTTAAAATAAGCCAAAGATTCATCCATTTTGTATACTTAGGAATCACCTTATATCTTATAATCAATATAAGAAAATTATAATTGATATACAATTATAATTTAATATGTAAGAGAATTTATACCTTTTTAGGCATACTGTACAGACGCTACGCTTATACTAAAAATAAAAAATCTTATTATGTTATTCAATACTACTCTAAGGGTGAGTAGCAAAGTGCCATTAATCTTTTATTGTTATACATATTTATGTATGCGTCTATAATTCGAATGATATTTTCCTATTATTTATGAACAGGATTACGGCTACTCTGTAGAACAGTTATGGGATCTGCTACAAGAAATTAGAGTTCATTACAACGAAGTGCTGATGCAACATTGGGTTCAAGTGTTTAGGGATATTTTGGACGAAGATAGTTTCTTACCAATTCAGGTAATGATCATTGATCAATGATCATTCATACTTGTGAAACAGTTAATCCCTGTGACTAAGGACTTCTAAATTATTTATTTACTCTGTCATCACGTTCCAGGTTACAACGCAAGCAGAATACGACGAAATTTTGAATCTTTTTCCTTACCACGACGAGGAATTGCGGAAGGCTAAGTTTCCGAAAAAATTTCCATTTTCTGGCATGGTACCGAAGGTCTACCAGCAAGTGAAAGAATTCATTTACGCTTGCTTAAAATTCTCCGAGGACTTGAACTTCACGCAGGCGGAAATTGATGAGATGATATGCAAGTCGACAAATCTGTTATTAACAAGAACTTTCAGTGGATGCTTATCGTCATTGTTTCGCAAACCATCCTTAGCACTTTTGCAAGTGGTACAAATTATAATAAATACAGGATATCTCGAGAAATCTACGAAGTATTTAGAAGAATTTGTGACTAATATTACTGGGTAAACATCTAATACATTATCATAACATTCTATCTTTTGTATGATCCATTAAGCATATTATGTCCAAATTATTTTTAGTACACCACATCAAGGGCAGTTAAGTTGCATGGGGGTGGAATCTGCCATGTTTCGGGTCGCACGAGACGATGCTGAAAAGCAGATTTGCGATAAACTGAAGAATAAGCTGGATGAATTTTTAGAGTTAGAGAATTACGATTGGAATTTGGCGGAACCTCAAGGACATGCCTCGGGATTCATTACAGATCTTATTGCATTTTTGCAGAGCACTTTCACGTGCTTCACCAATTTACCGGTAAATATTGCAATATATAATGCAATCATATGTATGTGATTTCCGAAATATAATAATCGACAATTAACATTTCAGGATGAAGTAGCTCAAGTGGCATGCAAATCCGCGTGTTCTCACATCGCTAAAGCCATATTAGGCATATTAATTAGTGAAGATGTGAAACAGATATCCATGGGTGCATTGCAACAGGTCAATTTGGATACGATACAATGCGAACGTAAATCTTTATGTTCTTTATTACGTTTTATTACAATACAACCTTGGCCATAAAGCACTCCCACATGTAAACGTGCTATATTTAACAAAAAATTAATTAAACAGTTTTATTGAAAAATATTTGTTTTTATAATAATTTTTATATTTTTAATATTTTGTCAATCCTCGTTTGATTTGTATTATCGTCTTTTCCAAGAAAATACAAATAAACTGCGAGTGCTTTATACTTGTGACCAAGACTATATATTTTTTATATATAATACTGTTGAATATAAAAATTCAAATTATTATAATTTCCAGAATTTGCTGCTTCTGAGCCAGTCGTCGGACTGCCAGAAGGAACATTGTTGCAGTACTTTTCGCAATTACGACAGTTACTAGATTTATTCATGAGTTGGGACTGGCCTACTTATTTTCACGACTATGGTCATGACTCTAGTAAATATGATTTAGTAACCCCGAATATGGCTGTGCTTCTGTTGGAAAAGTATGTATTATATATGTTATTTACTACTTTTATTTTGCGCGTATTAAGTGCATCGTTTTATTGACACATATATCCATATATATGTGTATATATATATATATATAAAATATATTTTTTTTAGGTTGAAAGAGTCTGATAAGAAAACGGTATTCTCTGTATTAAAGAAAAGCGAAAGAGATAAAAAGAAATTGCTTGAAACTGTATTGAAGCAATTACGTCAACTAGCACAGACTACTCAGCAATAAGAAGTTGGAATCAATGATGCAATACATACAATATATATAATATATTTTGAGAATAAATGCAAATATATATACTAATTTTTTTATATAGCATTGCAAAAACGTGATTTTTTACGAATATTTATTATAAAAATATATTTGTTTTCACACATACGAGTCCTTTAATATATTTTTTTATTATCAATCGATTTCATATTGTTTTCAATGTATATATTTATATAAGTACGCAGAGAGATTAATGTAGGGAGAAATAAAAATTAAAGTAGACGTAATATATATATATATTTGTGTATTCCCATATACTTATTTTAATTTCCTTCTATATTGGCATTGTTATATTACATGTAAACGAGTCACATATCGTACAATTACTGTACAGTGGATTAAGTATGATATATAAAGTTCCAATAGCTACACCTCATATACAGTGTAATTATTCTTGGAATCATACAAAAAGTTTGATGTGACTATTCGGCGATCACGAGAAATTTGCGACATTGCAGCTTAACAATGCCAAAATTTTTCGTGCCGAAATGTGTAAAGTAAATATATATAAGTTGATATAGAAATATAGTTATATTGAGAATATTAAAATATAGAGATTAAATACAAATCAACAATAATTCCAGTAAAGTAATACCAATAGCGCAACGCCTGGCTTACGACAAATCCATGCAATAGTAGAAGTAAAACAAATTATATATAATAATACGCATAATTGTGTTGCATGTGGCACAATTTAGTCGGTGTGTGATGCAAATTGTAATCAATTAAGACTATTCATCGATATTGTCGGGATCCACATCATCAGGTAGCATGGAATATTTGTTGGAAGCTACAAAATTCTTTAAAAAAAAAAAAATCTTTAAAATATCTATTCATCAATATTTGACATTAATTAATTAATTTTACTCACTGGAGCTTGTTCGTCCTTAGCTTTCGGCATTCTACTGATTTCATCTTTCTCTTTGTCTCTACGATCCCTGCAAATAATGACAAATAAAATAGAGATAAATGCAAATCTCGCGTGTATACGCGACATATACTATTATATAAGAAAAAATAGGTATTTTGTTCTGTTAATAATACTTTTCTGCCGCACGAGTATCCTTCTCAACGGATTTCTGAGGTCCTTTGGATATCGGTGGTCCAGAGCGCGAAGCTGGCGATGTTTTCGATCCACTTTGCTCTTCTACTTTAAAAAATATTTGTCACAATTATCCATGTCTGTGCCGAATAAAGAAATTTTGTAAGAGTGTTTAAAAGCGAAAGAAAAGTTTACCAGCACAAGTGGGAGTTGGTTGAGATCGTGGCGCGGATCTCTCAACCCGAGCACCTCTGTCTTCTTCTGATCGCCAAGCCGGCCGCCCTCTTTCCTTCTCTTTCTCTTTCTCTTTCTCTTTCTCTTTCTCCTTCTCTTTCTCTTTCTCTTTCTCCTTCTCCTTGTCCTTCTCCTTGTCCTTGTCTCGGTCGTCCCGCCCTTCCTGCAAATGGAAATTACTTAAGTCACGACTTTTTATAGTTACAAACGCATTTGTAACTTGTGTTCAAAGTATAAAATACTTACGCCATTACGTCGACCCCAAGTGCCGTCTCTACGATCCTTAGTCTCCCTGGAGAGAAAATGCATCAAAATTTTTAATAAAAACGAACATATTCTTACAAATATAATGAAAACAACGTAGTATCTTCGATGTGAAATGACATCATTTTTTGTTTGATAAAAATTTCAAACAATAATAATTTACGTTAATGTATAATCTAACAATTTCGAGATATTCTGTATTATATCATACATACGCCTCTTCTCGAGAACGTGATTCCGCGTAAGACTTGGCGAGACGCTCCTCTATCTCTCGTTCACGGGCAGTGGTATCTACAGGTTTCGCAGCACCGAAAATATTGGCCGCTGGCACGGGCGTGGCAGCTGGTGCTCGTTGAGTCGATTCCGTACTCGTCGTTGATTTCGATTCCATTGTGGTATCCTTACCTGCCGAATCATTATCTGCCGGATCCTTACCTGTCGAATCCTTATCTTCCGCAACTACGATAGGCTCGACGGGTTTCGTGCGAGGTTGTAGGTTCAATTTCGGTCTTTGCCGTGTCTCGGCTAAGTAATCACAATCAAACGAAAATATCGGTAATTGATTCAGAGATACGATATCTCTCATAATGTTTTATCAAACAATTGTTCATACTTACGCGCAGGTTTCGCGTCTCGATCTTGCCGACGATCGCGATCCCAATCAGAATCACCATAATTACGACGTGGCCCGAAACTGCTGCTCCTGTCCCCGTCCCTGTCTCTGCTTCTCCCTCTATCACCAAAACGATTCCAGTCCCTGTCTCTGTCCCTGCTGTCATCTCTAAAGCTGCTCCTCTCTTTAAAAGTAGATCCTTTATCATTGCTGTCTCTCTCACGCCACGCACCTGGCTTGTTATCGTAATCGTGTCCTGTTCAATGAGAAAACGTTTCTGTATTGTAAGACGATCCTTCGAGAGTTTGCTTCTATCAAAACTTTCGTTTCTCTCCGCAAAAATATCAAATTTGATTTAAAAATCTACGCACTTTCCCTGTCATCTCGCCGGTCTCTGTTGTCAAACCGGTCTCTATCGTACCGACTGCGATAGGAATCTCCGTCCGACAAATCCTCACGCGGTCCGCTTCTCCAGTCGCCGGACGTGCGCTCTGGATCATCGTAATTGTCCCTACGGCTATCTCTACCCATCCTACCGCCTCGACGATCATCATTACTGCTATTCGAGACTTCAATTCTCACTCGTCTCGTCTTAATCGTCTATATGAAAAGACACCAAACATTGTTTTCAGCAGTTTCTTTCTTTAATCATAAATGCCATTAACCACAATTTGCTTACCGTATTTGTCATAGAAAGAGCATCAATTAAACTCTGACGATCCTCGAATTCGACATAACCATAACCCTTGATCTTATTTGCGTCTTTTGGCAAACGCATATTTGAAATCTGCATATAGAAAACGCATAATTTGCAAATAATTTGTGAAATAAAAAAAAATTTTCATATTTGATCGTGTTGTCAAAATGTACAATTAAGATTATAAGTGTACTTGAGAAGCACTGAATAGCTCAATTAGAATAGCTGCGCGATAAATATGCCCAAGTTCAATTCCTGGGCCCACTATTCGACATATTTAAGTAAAAAACACTCTACATTATTATCCTATTAAAGAAACTCAAATATTTATGTTTCAATAAAACCAAAATTAAAAAATATTGAAAGCGTTCATTGAGACTCCCTTATGTACAATATAAATAAAGATTTGTTTGGAATATTTAACTGTGCAGAAATCATCGCTTATACCAAATTGATAAACCATGCAATCGTTATTACATGCATATACAACTAGAGTAAAATATTAAATATTCTATGTAAAAGGATCAAAACATCTGTTATAATTAGTACATTAAGTAGCTTTATAATAAATTTTGTTTACCATCACAGTTCAAAAAAGATTATTAGCACGTTACACCTAGCTTGGCTCAACAGCTCCATTATCGTTATAATTAAATATTCTCTTTATATAAAAAAAACACATTAATAGAATAAAATTGAAAACTAATATTGTAAACCATGTCTTCAATCCTTTAAAATGTGATATTATGATTCTGATTTATTGAATTTGGGTAATAAAAAAAATCGAACCTTCATATCTGCAAAGAAATCTGCCAGGTCTGTTTCATCTACATCATATGGCAGATTACTTATGTAGGCTACATAAGGAGGATTTGTAGGAATATTTTCCTCGTCAATCCCTGGTCCTCGTGCAGCCCTTGGAGCAGTCGGCAATACAACTGGATCTTTGCTACTCCTTGATGAAAATCCTTCTGCAAAGTTATCGATATAATAAGAAACTAAAAATATATATTTTTACACTATTACATGTACCAACACCAACTATTTATCACAAAGGATTGTAGCTTCATTATATTTTAATATTATTCTATTTCATCTATTACATTGTAAAAAAAAGATTATAGCCTTATTACATTTCATCTTACTATATTGCAATTTTTAAATAGTAAAATAATTTTTTATATTTTGCACAAATGCAAGAATAATGCTAACATATGATTTCACAGTGCATGAGGTCACAAATATACTTAATAATTGGCATTATCTAACAATAATTGACATAATCTAACTTTTTTTTTATAATACCACGACAATCGATCGTCTATTTCGAACTGGGACAAAGGCGATACCTCCGACTTACCATGATCGTCCTCTACATCATCTGCCCAATTAGACGATTTTAGAGGAATATTAGGGGTCGGCCCGTTTCCGTCAGCCAAGAATGACCACAGGTCGACGGTCACCCCCTTCTTCTTCTTGTTCTTTTTGCCTGCAAAAAAAACGTACGCAAACGTATCGTTAGAGGAGCGTATTGTCGCGCCCCGTGTCGTAAGCGCGCCTAGCAGCTCGTGCAATATCGAAAGCATGGTGACCACGTCGCGTAATGTTTGGTTAGGTGCGAACGTGTGGAGGCGAGAACGGTCGGCGCGGACGACGATCCGGGATCACCCCGGCCATCGGAAAAATCGCTTTCCACCGGGACTCGCTGTCACGCCAACTGAGAACGTACCTGAGGACATGGTAACGATTGAGAAATCCACGGAATTACGTGCCAGGCCGTGTCTACGTACACCACACGACCACCCTCGCAGAATCCGTGAAAGCGTGGACTCGCAATTAACGTGAGATATAGGCTGCGAATGTGCACTGGGATGTAACGCCATCTTCTGGATGGTGCCGAAATTTACTAAAAGATTTGTTCTGAAAGTTCCTAGGAAACGAATTCTCTAATTGGATGTTCGGATATACTATTGACTAAAAAGAAGCAGGGAGTCGATTTATATGTCGTATTTCAAAACGAGATGAAAAAGTGAGCAAAATCACTGTAATAGTTGCAATTTTATTAGTCAATACCTAATAAATTTGCTCACTTTTGTAATTTTCATCTTAATTTAAGATACACAATCGACCCCCAGGCCTTCAATTGCGTATTTTGAAATAATGTGAAAATTACAAAAGTGAATTTTTAATTTCATTGGCCAATATTTTGTAAATATGCTCATTTTTGTAATTTTCACCTCGTTTGGTGCGTTCCTTTTGGATGCTCATGCGTTGTAAGCGCTCACGCTTATAAGCGTTATTTTCTGCCGTTTCTTTTGAAATTTAAGTGCTCATACGATTGTCAGCAAAGCCGTTCTCTTTGGCATTTGTGAGTGACTATGAGCGTATCAGATGGCAATTGAAAATGATATGATTGTTTTATATAATTATGTTAGCAAATGTTGGATGAGCACACGT